GCAGCAGAGAGAGTAAATCCGGCCCTGTATACACAAAATCATCGGCAGACCAGTGCTTGCAGCCAATCAGTTGGCCCCGCTGTCAGTATACAATGTACACTGTGGGATGGGAGATTCGTTCAGCCACGCAGTTAGCATGGATGAAGGAATTTCTCATATTTATTTTGATCAGCCTCGAGAAAAAAAAATATAACCAGCTTAAGCTGCTACCACTAGAGAGCCTTGATTGTGTATGACAGCACAGTGCTGCCAAGTTTTTGTATTTCCAGGAAGCGACTTTGATTTGAGAAAACAATCAATTCATAATGAATTCATATCAAAATTTTATTACTTTTCATAGAGATTAAATGCTAGAGCTGAAAGATGCAGCACCTTATCTTTGCCCATGTATTCCGTATACATTTCATATGACAGTACACTGCAATACTCTGGCAGCTGCACTAAAGACTCACGCCAACAAGCAAGGATTAGCATGCTGTGCACTGAATGACACTCTTAATCATCCAAATGCAAGTACTTTATTCTTTCTTCATTTCTTTCTTCAGCTTGGCCAGGTGACTCAGACATGCGTCTCTCCATTCCCTCCGCTCCGTCAGCTGATCACTTTTATCAGGTTGCTCGTCCCACAACGCCTGCAAATAGACAAAAATGGTTTGAATCATCTCTTGTTAAACCACGGTTTCATATGGATATGATCCAAGCTATTATCTACAAATCATGATGTGCAGGTGATGTTTGTGTTACAACACATCCCAAAGCATGATGCAAGAAGAAGGTCAGTAAAGCTACAATTCCCTTACAAATGATCTACTCAATACATAGAGTCTGGAGGCAGCTATTTGTGTGCTGTCATTTAAAAAAAAAAAAAAAAAAAAGTCTATGATATTTGTTTTAATTCACTTAAAATCAATAATAATGTCTTCCTGTGTGTAACTAAAAAAAGCTTAGTCACCTGTCTTTATTCAATCCCTTTCTCCCCTTTCTACAGTACGCAAGGTAGCCTCCAGTGGGTTCACTCATGTGCAGGTCTACCAGCCCCCTTGACCAAACCAGGACTTCTGGGAATGATACACATATGCACCCACCTGCCCTCCCACAATGAAGCTCTTAGTGCCTCGGTGGCCAATCATAGAGTGTTTCCACATAGGGAGGCTCACATAGCAATTTTCAGAAAAGTAGACCTTTGCTGTGGACATGGCGATCAGGAGCAGTGAGTTAAGGTAGTGGAGGGAGCCTACTGTACAGTGGGGGTGGGTTTGGAAGTTTAAGGTGGAAGCCAATGTAAGCCACTTGGCTTTAAAGTAATATTGTATGTAATCATAATTCTAGATTGTCCGCTTAGATGTACGCTTGATGTACCTTCAGGCCCCAACAGCAAACGCTCACATTTTCTTGCAGTCCTGAAGAAACTGTAGACAGCTAAACTGGAACTTAGTGAAGGAAAAAAATAACAACTTGCCCAGGCCAATCTTATACATGGCAAAAATTTTAGCAAACAGTGCAGATTTGTACCTGCGTCTTGATCTCCAGAAACAGAGAAACTTCCCCAAATATACATAATCACGAGCTGCAAAAAAAGTAAAACCTACATCTCCGCATCCCTCCAGGCAGACCTTCCAGGGATCCAGACATGCAGGATCCCTGGAAGTATCTGATCAAAGAAGCAAAGCAGCTAACCTAAGGATAGTGATGACATCAAGCTCTGTACAGGAGTCTAGGAAAATCACTGAGCCTATCACATAAACAAAGTGATTTCTTGGGCTGTTCTATACTCAAACTATGTTCCATACATTATCTGCATTGGCATGGGTGCATTTGTTTCACATTCTTTATTTGGGGAAAGGCAAGCATATAAATCCTTAACAGAACCAACAGTAGCATAGGACCACCAGATGCAGCTGGACACAAGAAAGTACATAGAAAACTGAAGAAGGTGTACATCAGCCAATAGATGAAAATGACAAATGAATAACATTAACAGATGGTACAGTTCTGAATTTGCGTCTGCTCAGTGATCCATTTCAATTCAGTAGTACAGTATGCTTCTGTGCCCACCTTAAGGTAGGGGGAAGAGATAGACAGGGGTAATCCTACCGTCAGTAGCAGAAAGGGGAGAAAAAGGAATTGGGGGGGAAGGAAAGAAATAAAACCAACAGTCACTAAAGGTGCCTATACACCTTCCGAATCAGCTGATTTTCGTATGCGATCACGTTTTCGTCCGATATTCGTAAGGCTGATCGGCAGTGTACAACCGCAAATACTGTACAATCGATCGACTTTTGACTAACCAGAAGGTTAGAAAACTTTGGTCGAACGTACGATTTTCACAAGGTTGGTGGCGTTTCCGTACGTCAAAATTCGTACGATTTACACTACATATGCGTAGACAAAAATACGTGCGGTCGATTACCGCAATTCGTCCAGGTGCTTTCTTCTAATCACCGCTGATAAAACCTTTCAATAATTGGGGCAGGATGGGGCCGCCGTACGAAAATCGTACGACGGTTCGATCATCGGACGAAAAGTGTCGTCTGATGATCGCAAGGTGTATGGGCAGCCTAAGAAGGGCAAGAATGGGCAACTCTAAAGAAGCAGAGAATGTTTAATAAAGTTAACTGGAGAGTTCTATGACAACAAGCAAAATCTAAAGCATCGCTATTAAGCATGATGTATTAACAGGCAATGAATACTAAAAGATGATTTATGAATTTGTCTATTGAGGAGCTGCAGTTTGTTCAGCAGGGAACAGTAGTTATCTGATAACATTCATCTAAAAGATATGTACAGATTCCTTTAATGCTGTCTTTACATATATCTGAAAATGCATTTCTTGCAAGTGAAAGATACGCCAAAACCTGCTGATTAAGCTGCAAAATATAATTGCTACCATTCACTAACAATGTGTTTCAGTCCTATGTTCCCACCATTCACATGCTGGTTGGTGCTGCCAAAATAAAAAAATTGGCCTTAATGTGAACCACTCAAACTCCACCCCAAAATACTGCAACCCAAACCCCTTCAGGAAAAAAAAAAGTACCCTTCCCTATGCTTCATTGTGGTTGAAAGTCTAAGACTGCTTCAGGTATGTATCCTTGCAAAATAATCTCCACATGATACTTTTGGCTTCACTGTCTGCAAAATGTGGAGCACGAGTGTTTTAAAATCAAACATTGCTTACCGGTCTACTTTGACTGCAGTCGCACCTGGGCCCCAAGGTTGTAAGGGCTATGAGCTGGGAACCATGTTACCACCCAAGAGTCAGTTTGGCATCCTGAATACAATTTTTTTCTATTTATAAAATAATTATATATAATATATATATATATATAGATATCTATCTATCTATCTATCTATCTACCGTATGTACTCGAGTATAAGCCGTCCCGAATATAAGCCGAGGTACCTACTTTTACCCAAAAAAACTGGAAAAAAGTATTGACCCGAATATAAGCCGAGGGCAAATGAGGCAGCTACTGGTAGATAGATACCAATAAAATTACATTAATATTTATTTAAAAGAAAAATAACCTAGCTCTGTAAGTGGAAAAGGGGGTACAGGGCTACATATCATGTACTACGGATCATTTAACCCATTCATATTAGCAGAGGATAATTGTAAATCTATTGTTCAGTGCA